TGATTACAGAGGCTGTAAATGAGGCAATTTGGCTTCGAGGACTTTTAGAGGACCTTGGTGTTTCGCAACGATCTATCACCATTCATTATGATAGCATGAGTGTTATCTATTGGTGAAAAATTAAGTTTTCCAAGCGAGAACGAAACACATCGATGTTCGTTATCACTTTGTTCGGGATGTTCTTGAAGATAGGGATGTGGAGCTTGTGAAGGTCCACACAAAAGACAATCCAGTAGATATGCTCATGAAGGTGGTCCCTAGTAATAAGTTCGATCATTGTAGAAGCTTGTTGCAGATTCGTGCTTGTTGAGGCATGTCGAGACCATTTGGATGAACTACGAGCGACTTGATCCCTTAGGAGAGGAGGTACGTAAACAACCACATTGGTACAACCGAATTTAGAGAGACGACACATTGGTGCTCTTGTTGGTATCAGCTCAGTTTTGGAAACACTTCGTCAAGGTAGAGAATTGTTGAAAGAGGATGGAAATTACAGGAAAAATCGATAGTGGCAAAAGTCCTCTGGTCGGTCGACTGGTGGGCCAAACCAGTCGACCGATATCATGCACCATACAGGAGCTGAAAAATTCGCACTAAACAATCGACCGATGCACCATTATCGGTCGACTAATGAAGACCTATCGGTCGATGGATAGGGGTGCATCGGTCGATCAATAGCGGGTCAATGGGCCAAATTGGTTTCCCAGTCTGTTTTGGTTTAGTGTTTATATAAATAGAAGCACGTTTTTAGGGTTTTTAAGAGAGGGGTTTAACAAAGAAAATGGGTTGTTTTGAGCACTTTGAGGGGGAGATTATTGTGAGGGAGTGAGATCTTTTGGTTAGGGTTATTTTGAGTGTTTGAGAGAGTTGTAACCCATTGTTTTCTCCTCTATATAGTGAAATCTCCCCATCCTATCCCCGTGGACGTAGGCAACTTGCCGAACCATGTAAATTCTCTGTTTTTGTGATTGGTTTTGGTCGTTTCATTGTGAATTGTGCTCGTGGTGTTCTTCTCGTGTTGCTTACCGACTTGATGTGGATTGAGTCTGCTTCCGCTGGACGCAACAACCTTATCGAAGTTTATATTAATCATTAGCATTTTATGAGAAAATAACACATACATAATAGAGGGCCAAATTTTCCATATAGCTGATGTCCAACATGGATTAATAGGGTGAATTTTTTTCATAATTCTATGCATGAACAAACTTCTTCTGTAAATGCAATAGCAACATTAAATAGTTGATATCCAACATGGATTAATAAGGTGAAAAATATTATAATCCTATGCATGAACAAACTTCTACTATAAACAAAATAGCATGATTAAATGATGTTTAATATTGGAGATGGTAGACGCACTTTTGCTCAATTTACACTAAGGTTTAAGCTATTTAAGAAAATACTAATTAATAAGTGCTTCCCAAATAAAATTCTTAAACTTAAAGATGAAATTAACATCAACCTTTCTTGTTTAGATAGTGGTATATCATGCGAGTAGGGACTTATCACTTTTTGAAGTTCCATGACAATTACAAGAGACATTGATTATGTCGTTCATATGTCTTTGATGAATCTCTAGTTCACAGCTTGGCAGTAAATCATTGTGATAGCATTTCTATAGAAATATATATCATGTTTAATGTCCTCCGAAGCACTTCATTTCTCAAAAATAGAAATAAATGGTTGGAAGAAGAGGAAGAAAGAGAAATAAATGAAAAATAAATGTCGCATATAAAAATGAGTTATTAATTAGAAGGTAAGAAGCCAAAGGTTAAGAAGATATTATTTTAGCAATCAGGGTTTACTTATAATAAAAATGTAATATTTATTTTGGATGCATGTAAATATTATGCTTGTTGAATTATTTATTTTAAAAAAATTAGTCTAAAATCATGGTAAGAAAGTTTATTTTGTATTTCTAATAGTAATATCAAAGGGTAATACAATTAGTTTAATCATGCCCCTACTTAATGATATTAGCGTCGTAGATTTCTTTAGTACAATGTGTTTTTAAATTACTGTTAAATGCGTTTAGAGGTTGAATTCTAAAAGTATTTAATCTAATGAGATTTTAAGATATAGTTCATTTTAGTCTTTTTATAATAAATTTTAAAATTCGTGCCAAAAAGAAAACTAATCGCCAAATGGACTATAACAATTTAAATCATACCAAATCGACTCATTTCTACAACGATCAAGTTATGAAACAAAAATTTTTAAATTCTTATTGAATTATAGAGGAACATATCATGCTAACATGTATTTGAGCAAATTTGATCCTCGAAAGAAGTCAACATCTTGTGATGTGCTAATTTTTCATTCTAATCCAAGTGGATTTCTGGTTTAGCTTTTCTTTTGTAGTTATATGAATTTGGCTTAGTAGGTTTTAGGGTGAGTGGAAAAAATATATGAGCTAATTTGTATTCAATAGATGAAAGAGGTTATATGAAGGGAAAATGAAAAGGGTTGTTTGTTAGTTAATTGGGTTTATAGTTTATGCATTGATTCAAATTTAAAAGTACAGACTCTACATCTTATTGATAATCTTATTATTATTACTTGATTAACTTTAATCTTATACTGTTGTGTGACTGACTAGGAAGTAATTTATAGTCTTGAGCTGAAATTTTAGACTTATTAGCAGGTAGGGCTCAAAACACCCAGACCGATAAAGAATGATGTACACTATTCTCTAATTCTACCTTAGGTGGTCCCTACAAAACTCTGATCCTCCAATGGATTAAACTTTGATGTCCTTCTAATACAGTCGTTTTAACTTTTTAGTAAGAAGAACAAGTCGCAAAGACCCCTGACATGCAATTAAGGTAGCATGAAAAATGAACATTGACACTCTAAGATTCTAAATATAGATATAAGGATTTGTATGTAATATAAACTATTAATAATAATGATATTCTTGACCAAATATTCTTAAGGGAGATTAGGAGGTGCATTTAATTAAGGGTTATGGATAATTATTTAAGGATTAATTATAAATAATCATATAATTGTGAATTATCAAATTTGAAAGGCCAAAATAAAAAATCAAAAGTTTTGACATAGGTATTTTTTTTATAAATATTATAGATATGATATGGGTTAGATGTCAACTCCTAAGCATGGGCAAAGATGAGAGAGAGTGACTGTGTGTTATATAACTAGGTAAATTTTGACAAACCCCCTTTAAAATTTGACTGATATTGAGATAACTCCCTTTAATCTGAAAATATCACTTAACGACTATTAAGATTGGAGTATTCCAGAAAACCTCCAATCATTTGAATTTTTTCAACTAATCCCTAGCTGTGGTAAATGAACTTAAGAAAGATCAAAATACTCTTTTCATACTAACATTTGATTATTAAGTTAAACGAATAAGGGAATTTTAGTTGAACTATGTTGATGTTAAGTAATCACACAGTCAATTATATCTGTGGTTGGATGAGGGTGAAGTTGATGAGGGGCCGCTTCCTTCCCCGAATATCCAGTTTTGAGTTGAGTGGCTGGAAAGTCTGCACATATAGAAACTCATTAGATAACGGAGACCAGTTCCCCGTGGTTCCTCTGACGATCAAGTCAGCTGGTGAACTTGAGTAGGAAAAGTGAAAAACTGTCAGTTCTTCTGTGTGCAGTATGATTTGCAGAAGAAGCAAAGGTCAAAAAGTCAAAAGACCAAAATCCTCTCTTGTTGAGAATAATATTTGTATTTATAGTGATGCTCAAAGGGTAGAACCGTCATTGTGACCGAGCACAGGATGACAGTGAAGAAGCATGTGCAGGCGGCTGAGTCAGCTCCCGCTTTACAAGTGTCAGCTAATGACTGGGGGAGAGATTACCTCAGTATTAAATGGGAAGTGATCGGAGGCATGACGGTGTCGACGTGGTCCGATGAGTCATGAAGCCTATCGGGGCTAGAGGTATGATGGCGCCTTCCAAGCATTAAATGTGACGTCGACGTTGTGTCAGCAGGAGAGGCTCGAAGCTGAAGTCGTCTTTTAACTTCGCCAAGAAGCAACGCCTTTCGAGTCGACCTCGTGAGGTGTTGAATAGCTTATCGAGTGGACTCGCTGCGAGTCGTCTTCGACAAGAGGACCGACAAGTTCTGTCATTCGAGTCGACATGAAGGAGTGTCGATTCGACGAGTCAGCTAAGTTGGAACCCTTGTTGGTCTCGGCCACCAATTTGATTAGGGCATTGCATGCAAAAGTATACTCGTCTGTTGCTGGCTAAGAGTTGCATTTTGGTGTTTGAGAGCACCATAACAAACTAGATCAAACTTAAGGCACATTTGTAAAAGTTATCTTTAAAATTATTTAAAAGGAGCATTTTGGTCACTTGGAAAATTAGATCTAACCCTATTAATTAAGGGGTGTTAACTGGCAAAAGTTAAGGGGGGAGATTAGGTGACATTTCTAAAGCTGAGAGGGCATATCTCAAAAATGGCCACACTTAATGGGGGTTTTGTGATACCCTGCTCCGCTCCTCCTTACTTGCCCTCTTAAACTACTAGTTTTGTTGCTGCTTACCCCAGCTTGAGCTATTTCAGTTTCATCTTACCCCCAAAATTTATCACTTTCCTTTCCTAGTCCTTTTAAAACACCACTAATTAATAAATAGAAAGTAGTAATCAGGTACTTAAAGTAATAGTGAGAAATTTAATAGCTTGTTACGGGGCTAGTGAGATATAAAGCCATAATTTCAATCAAATTAAGGATACAAGCCGGACCAGGCGCGGTGGCAATTGTGAGGCATGGAGCGGGTATCATAATGTCTAGCTAGCGGTTGGATCGACAGGACTCCAGAGATGAGATATGACAACGTACGTGGAGGAGGAGCTCTGGACCGTCACGAGTAGCACTCGGACAGAGGCTTCTGTGTTTCTTTAAACTAGCAAATTAATATTCGGATATTGGGATAGAATTGCAAATTTGAAAGGTTGAAGGTGTATAGTTCAAATAAATAAACTCTGTGATTTTCATTAGTCGTTAGGTGACCATTGTTATCCGCGTAGTTGGGTAGACACCATGAGGAGATTGTGTGGAGCCAAAGGCCCTATCCACTCCCCACTCGCTGATCTCTTTCTTTCGATCTGTGAGCGTGAGCATCATCATAATTAGAGTAGTGTTGTAACGAGGAGTTGTTTTATCGCAACAGCTTTATCCTAGTGTTTGTTCTCTGATAGCGATCGAATTAAGCAAAGCAATGACGAACGCGGCAGTTACGGGATTCTCCGTTCCCAAGATGCACCTGCACAATACTAGAGCTCTGCATCCCATGAAAACAGATCAGACGAACTCATTCCCAACAGTACCTAATTATGTACTGGAGTCTCCACCCCCTTCCATGTGATTTTGTCCGTGGTATCTTCTTTTATTATTATTATTATTATTATTATTTTACATGGATGTGTTTTCAGCTGAAGCGATTGAGAACTTCGACCGTGTGGAACAGTAGGAGCCACCCTCTGCAGGTACCAACTGATTCATTCTAAGCTGGAAATTAAGATTTCATCATCTAATTTTAGATTCCATCACCGATACTTCAATGTGTTGTTGTTGTTCTGGGGATTATTATTAATTAATCGATCAGGTGAACAAGGAATCTTCAAGTTCATGGAGGGTGAATGCTTTGCCTCCTCTGATGGCTGTGATGATCGAGCATGTCACTGGTCAAAGAGATTACATCGTCCACAAATCTGTATGGCATCTCACTGATGAGGCGATGAAAAATGTTTGTAAGTCGGCTCTTCGACACGTTAATTAATTCTCATTCGATCAGATGATTATTTATTTAAGGCTCTACTTAATTACGCCATCTTCCATAATTACTTCCTCGCTTACTAAAATATTTTATTAATCTCCATATGTGATGTAATGTAGATACCATGTATATCATGTTTACATGCTGGGGTTGCTGTTTCTTCGGATCTACAAAGGTATATATGCCCATTTGCTCCTCGCTCGGTTATAGCTCTAAATTAATAGGCAAATTGTTTAATCCAAGATTGATCAATGCGACGATGGCTTAACTAATTAATTAATTAGGATCCATTCTACGACGGAGAGGAGTACAGGAAAGATGGAGGAGACGGAACAGTGCATTGGTACTATGAGAAGGTATTGTGCGCACACCCATCTAACTTTCTTAATTAGTAACGTCTGATTAATATGCATCTAATCGACTGCAAATTAATGGTAAAAGGTTAGCCCTGCGACCAATAGAGGTTTAATTTCTACCCTCATGTGTTATAAGTCAGATATCATTAGTACCACTAAACAAAGTTGATCGCGATAATTTGGTTGAACTGACTGCAGTGGGTGAGAGACTCAAGTCACTTAGGCCAGCAATATGTATACATGAGACAAGTAGATTTACACCATTACCTGATAAGAAGATTGATTTCTTTCACCACATGCATTTACTAGTACCTCAAATATATAAATAAATCCAATAATTAGAATTAATATTGCATGCATGCAGCAAGAAGATATAGAAGCAGCAGCAAGGGCAGAGCTGTGGAGAGAGGAGTTAATTCAAGAAATCGAGCAAAAGGTCGGAGGGCTTAGAGAGTTGGAGGAGGCTGCAAGCAAGGAAGAGGAACTCGTCAAGTAAAAATTAATGAAAACACAAATATATATATATATATCCCTTCCTAGTTACTGTATGCATCTCTATCATTTTCCTAATCATTCTTCATTATCCTTTTTCTTCATTTTTTTAATTTTTTTTTGAGATACAACGTTAGGCCACATACATCTTCATACGACCAATACTACACAACGTCCTACAAAGTCGCAGCGGGAAAAAAAAAATTTGGGTTTACATCAAAATCGCAAAAAGGTTTGCCAGATTAATTGATTCAAAGTATAGCGACAAGATTGGTATTGTGAAATAGGAATCAAGGAGTAAGAAAAACCAAACGACTATCTATGAGATTGATATATTATAAGAAGGACAAATTTTTAATTTAGACCTCTTTAGAAACTTATTTGCAAAAAACGAACTATTTCGAAAATATTTACAAAATTCGATCGAGTTTCAGCCAGTTGGCTGAAACTCTGGCTGAAACTGGGTCGAATTTGGTGAAAAAACTTAAAAAACTTCACAGGACTTGAAATCTCGTGAAGTTTAATCCCACATAACCAACTTGATTAGGAGCGCCAAAACTTTACGGAACTTGAAGTCCCGTGAAGTGAAGTTTATAACTTCACGGACTTCAAGTCTCGTGAAGTAGCTTTAACCATCTTTCTCGAATTCCCCTACACTGTTCGGCTAACAAACCAGTTAGATTCAAAGAAAATACCTTTTTCTCACATGAACTAAGCGGACGACAAAAGCAGGCCTATTTGCAGGATCACGCACCAACTCCAGCAATCTCATGTGTGTGAGCACATCCTCCGCTCTCTCCACGTTCACATCCATTGCATCTAAACAATCAAGAACAATCGACCAATCAATGCAAAAATCCTCAAAATAAACCTCGAGATCAAGAGGGCGGCACTAACCTCGCGGGAAGGCGATTGAAGTGGGCCCAGAGTTGTCGCCGAATGACGACGGATGCTCCTCCGGCAAGCCAGAGTCACTGAGGTGTCGGAGGACCTCGTTGAAGACATCGAGCTTGTGGTGGTGGTGCTTGTCACACCCCGCTTCCCAAAATACCGGAGAATCGAAACGTGAGCAAGCCCACGATGTATTAGACTGAGAAGAAATAAGTACTATATCATTCTACTCAATCTAATACGCTAAGCGTCAACCAATATAATGCGAAGGCACAGGTCCCTGATCACAGTAGTAAGAATATAATAACAACTCAGAACAAAATGATCAATATCACAAAGGACATATCATCCAGGGCATAATATTCAGGCCAAACATGCCCTTATACAAAATTATCTGAATGAAATACTGAAAAATATATAATACATCGATTAGGTGAAAATAGAAAGTACTACAAAAGTAAACGGAGGACCAATAACTAAGCTTCGGCTTCTTCTCCTCGATCTGCAAAACACTCCTGCTGAGAATCCTTTGGCTCATGTACGACTCTGAACTGAAGCTATCGGTCTTCTAAATCTGACGTACATCCAGAGAGAAAAGACGTACGTCAACGTGCATGGCACACGACAAGATCCCACAAGAAGAAAGAAAACGGTCGAACAGCCAATGCGATAATAGTAATAAAAAATAGAAGCATGGTACTAGAGTTCTAATAATCTAAATGCAATTCACTACTAAAATTTAATAATCAGAAGAATCCAAAAATCAATCGAGTAACGAGGTCATGCAACTAGCGATCAGATAATCATCCAAGTGACAAAGTCATGCAACTAGATGGAATTAATACTTAAAAATCTACAACACGAGACGTAGTACGTCGAGCGAAATAATCCAAACAATGAAACTCTCATGTATATACCATATGTCTCGAATTGTAGATAATTAAATATTTATCCCGATCTATGTATGAAAAGAAATATAACTTGTCTGCATCTCACAAGAATCCATAATCATCTAAGGTGATAATAAAGAAAATTTCTAATTGTAGATATCAAACAAAGCCTACCACAGGACACACAAGCATATTATTCTTATTTTACATGTTATTTGAATTGGAGAAGAAGATTTTCATATATATAATCGGGTCCCCGTAAACCTGTCCAGGGGCCACGCCTTCAAGTCAAGTATTGGCCATTTGGCCCATGTATATATATAACTCGCGATATCAGGAAAGCGCATGTGCCCGTTTATATACATGTTAAATTCTCCATCCAATTTCCCTTTATAAACCTCATGTTTGTTCTTTTAATTTAAGTGACTGTACATGAATATTGTGCACTAGTCACGGAATTACCGTGGAATGACTTCTGTAAAACTATGAAAATAACCGTGACCCATAATAGGTCCGATCAAGAGTGCATCCTCTAGTCGATGCTATAATAGTAATAGTCAAGGAAAGCTCATATCGGGATATCAATATCGAGGGAACTCGGAACTCCTAACATTAGGATATCGATGTCGAGGATATAACCATGCTTTGAAAGTACGCTTATAAATTATATTTTTAACAGGAGTCGTTTTCATGTACATTCTCTACTATTGGATAACAACTAGGTAATAAAGTAACAAATTTTCATATAGTCATTCATCAAACAAATCTCATGCATGTAATAATATATCACAGTCTAATCTATGCATCTACTTTAATGACAAATATAAATGTTAAAATGACGAGTCAAACAGAAGCGAGATCTTGCCTACGAGGTCAGGGCCTGTGGACGAGGCGATGGTGTCGCTGCGGATACGGTACAACGGGTCTGAAGAGTTTGGCGGCGGATCTGAGCAACGCGGCTCGCTGCTATAGAGGAGATGACGGTGACGGCTTGCATCTAGGCTGAGGCAAAGGAGAGAAGGCGACGATGGCGGATCTGAAGGCGGTGTGGGTCGTTGGCGAAGTAGGCGACGCATGCAGGGGGTTTTGTCGGTTGTTTGTGGGTTTTGAAGGGTTGCTCGGCATGGAAGGAGAGCAACAGATCTGGGGAGGAGGTGTTGGCATACTTAATGGCGAGCAGCGGGTCAGAGGCATGGTTGTCGGCGATGTAGGGGCTGGACTCGAAGAAGGCAGTCAGAGCTTAGGGGAGTTGAGGCTGTCGGAAGGTCGGAGCCGATGCGAAGCTGCAGGGTGAGTGGGGTGCTTGACGGGCTATCGGGAAAGTGGAGGACGGATTGGATGTTGCAGGAGG